ATTACAGTACGTAGTCGAGAATCTGTATGTATACGCACGTGTAGATATACAGAGAGCAAATGGCCTGCGTTGCCGCAAAGTGGTTTATATCATTTAAAACCGAGAGTGCAGAGAGACTGAGAGAACTCATGCAATTTTCGACCTTACGATTTAACGATGGGACCGACAGTTGTGTGCGAGTAATATCGGAAGATTTAATTAATATACTTGATCTTCGATTATTCTTCTCAATGTTGATTCGCTGTCGCTCGATGATTTGGCTGCTGTAGTTTGTTGCACTCTGCAATAACTCATCGACGGCCCAGAGACGATCTCGTAATGACTCGTTCACGAGTGGCAAGATAACTCTTGCGCGCGAACGAAAACAAAAACAACAACCGCCGTAGCAATGGAACAAAAGGAAAATCAACAATTGGATGCATTAATCAAACACTCCGAAGTGCGTATGAATATCTGTGCTGGGCGGTAGTTTTGCAAAATGTCGCTGATCGTTGGTGCACGCGCTGCCACCAGCGGTTGTAAGCCAGGCCGCGGTGCACTCAGAATCTCGCGCACATACAGCGGCGTGCATATATACGATATAACGCCGTGTGACAGGCAACGAATGTCACCGCTTCGAGCACTAACCGAATGTATATATGCGCGCGATGTCGTATCTCTCTATAAAAACACGTGTAAAGCTAACTGTTTTATTCTCTACCGGAAGGTAGAGAGTGGCTTTGCGAGCACCTGAGAGTGCACATACGTATATAAGCACACAAGCATGCAGATAGCATCGCATGAGTGTACGAATGTATATGCAACTACTCGAAGCCCTGACGTATACGTAGGTGCACAATTCTTTTTCATAAAAATTCATCAAGATCCTCCGGGCAACGCGACACCTTGACTTATCTTCGCTACGAAATCACTTTGTCACGTCGAGCATAATACGCACACTCGCACACATCATGCGCGTCGCGATACGGCCGCGGCAAAAGGAAAAATTCATAATCCGCGCTACCCTTATGATCGTGCGTGTACGCTGTGCACTGCGTAGCGTGGCAGCGAGTGGACGAAAGTGCTCCGTGTCCCAGAAAAAAAATCTCGCGTGCGTATCGCAATGTGCTCTCGGTGCAAGTCTTCGCCGCGACAGTGCACGGCTCTATTTTTTTTTTTTTCTTACAAATATACAACGTTTATACATAATATATAAAGCACACAAGGCGAGCCATAAAACCGAAAGTGTGCCAAGTATACGGGCTATTAGGGCCAATTAACAGGCGGCAAAAGATCTGACGACGATGCGAATACGCGCGTTTATTCATATACGTGTAGCAGCCAGCTACCGTCGACGAGGAGGACTTTACTCCATAGCCCTCGCTCGCACGCCACACACATATGTATAAATAATACTCGCCTTACGAATATACTTCGAGGCCTCCTCGCATGCGCGCATATCGTATATACCGACTCGCCTTGTTTGCTTTTTTAACCAACACTCCCCCTTTTATATTTCCTTGACCTTCTCTCGCTGCTGCAGTGTTATATATTTTGCGAACGAACTCTTGCGAGCGAGCGAGCGATGCAGTACTCTCTATTAATTAGCTCTGCGGGACGATGGCCTGCCAAATTTGTGGCTATATCGCGCGCGAGGCAGTTTCGAAAATCCCACCGCTCGTGAAGAGAACTTCGGACTGCAGACCAGGCATTTAATGCGAAAGTTGCGTGCGGAGTGTGGTCGCTGCTCTACGCTCGTTAGATAAAAATCGTGTGAGGATAATGTAATACATTTGAGCTTGTGGGTATTATATGGTCAAGTCGGACTTTTTTCGCATCTTCTCTCTCTCTCCCTTTCCGTCGTTCTTATATTCTCGTCGATGATCAATTAAAGTAGCTTGTATACGTTTTTTCCTCGCAGCACGAGCAAAATTGTAAAAGTCGTTTGTGCGCGGTACGAGTCGAGCGCTTTATTTACCGACGATCCTGGATGGCTTTTTATGGATTCCACGGGGCAACTTTTTATTTATTTATGCGCAAGCGTCCCTCATATCTTGGGCTTGCATTTATACTTTTTAATTAACAGGACCGAGTTTTGCGGCTCCTCGGGGTTCCCGGTACCTGCAGCCATATATGCATAGAGTTGATCGCACGGTTATAATTTTTCCGAATAAGTATATACTCGTCAAGTACGATGAGCTGCTTGCAACCAGCTAAACAGAATGAATGCATCGTCATTTTTTCATGTTTTTTTTTTTTTTTTTTTTTGGTGATAGCATAAACTGCTAGAAGGACATCTTATTGATTCTCCTTGGATCGTATAGTTATATACGCTACGCATGCGTGGAACGGATTATTGCACAATTTCCAGGTACGAGCTCGAGAGATAAATGTATATTGGTTAAAAAATCCACTGGAATTTCGTTCATGATGCACTAAGTAGTAATATTTAAAACGTGCATGATGTCACTCAAAAGTAAATGTTCAGTGATTTTATATTCAATGGGAAAAGTAAAATCGTCAAAGACAGATAAATTGTCTTTTATTCAAATGAATTTTTGTCATAGCAGACTTTCTCAGCTGAACAACTGATACTTTACTTTATTGACAACTGAACCTTATTAGAATTTGTTTTTGAAATGAACAAATATTTCTTAGCGCGCTGTAAGGAAAAAATTTCTAAATTTGAAATCGCTTCATTTAAAAAGATGCATTGTCTGCAGCAATTCGATTATTAAATTATTCAATAATTTTTATGATCATACCTTTTAAGTAATATAATAAAAAAATACCAACATTTTGATTTTGAATCCAACCGTACTAAAGTTCGCTTTTCAGATTGCACAATAGATTCAATAATGATTATCATATCCATATGGTTTTCATAATTATGATGTCGCAGTGAAATTTCAAAGGTGTATATTTTGACATGTTATTCGAGTGATTTCGAAAACTTTTACATTAAACGAAAGGTGTAATTTATTAGTTTCAGATTATATCGGTTCGAAGTTTAATTAAATTTTTGATGTGAAACATCTATATTCGCGTTTGGTGTCAGGGGTAAACCCGTAAAAACCGAGCGTCCGTCCGTCCGTCCGTCCGTCCGAGCGAGCGAGCGCAACTTTGGTCGTAGAACTGCCTATACAGCGTCGGTTTGCGCTACGCGCTGTGATTGGCTGCCGCGCCAGCTACAGAACTGTTTTCTGCTGCTGCCCGCTGCCGAGACTCGACGCGCGTATGCCTGTGTTTACGTATACGCACGAGGCAACGTAACAGCATAAGCAACAGCAGTCGGCTCAGCTCACGAGATTGACTGCGTTGAGATATCTTTCTCTCTCTTGCTTATGCGTATCGCTAATACATATAATACGTATGTGTTGTCTATGCATGTACGTCGCGAGACTATGCACTATCATGCACGTTGTCAAATCTGATACTTATTACTGCATGTATCTATACGTGTCTATGAGTGTGTGTCTTCTTAAGGGAAGTCGAAATTATCATGTTATATTAAGATATAACGAACGATAATAGCTCAATGCACTAATTTGATTAATAAATCAAATTGAAAATTGAAAAAATTAAAAAAAATCAGCTGTTTATGAACAGCTGCAAGATGTGAAACATCTTACTATTAATTTAAGAAAATTAAAGAATTCAAAAGTAATCGAACAAGTAAAAGTCGAAACAAAAAAAGAAGTAAAAAATTAAAAACAAATTAAAACTCGAAAAATCAAGAAAAAATCAATTTAATACAAAAATCTAAAATCAAACAAGTAAAAAGTAAGAAAACAAAAAAACAAAAAACATGAATCAAAAAAACGAGAAAATCAAGAAAAAGAAAAGTCAGAAAATCCCAACACAAGCATCGATGTTTCACATCTGGTGCGCTAAAGCTCAAGAAACTACTCTGATTACTTAACTCAATGAGAGGGAACGATTTGAAAAGTAAGCACGCATTAATAATGCACCAGATGTGAAACATCGATGCTTGTGTTGGGATTTTCTGACTTTTCTTTTTCTTGATTTTCTCGTTTTTTTCATTCATGTTTTTTGTTTTTTTGTTTTCTTACTTTTTACTTGTTTGATTTTATATTTTTGTATTAAATTGATTTTTTCTTGATTTTTCGAGTTTTTTAATTGAACCTTATTGTGCGATAAATTGTTGAAAAATGTCTCATAAGTCAGGCGCGAGGCAAATAATTATAATTAATTTTCTCAAAGTACGAAAAATAATATCAAAAGCTCGGAACAATGAATGTCGGTTCGGCTGACTGAGGCTCGCGCGTAAAACGCGGCACAGTCGGCGAAAAAGGCAGCAGCAGCCGGGCTCGTCGGGCCGCTCTCGAGTGTGACTTTATACACGCACATAATGTGTGTCCGTGCGCGATAAGCTCGCCAGTATAATACGCGTATACGCGCATAATTAAATCGCACGAGGAGAGCGCATATGTATGCAGAGTGTTATCTGGCCGAGCGTTTTCGACACCGCCGCTCGGTCGCTCGCCCGAGCCAACGGTGCCCGCGCGATCTCGTATTTTATTTCCGATAACTCGAGGCCAAATGTCTGTATTATACGAGTAAATATGCATTTCGCGCTGCAAAAGTTTCACGCGTGTACGATAAAAAAATTGCACCAGCGGAGGTGGCGATTCGCGAGACCCCCCTCGATCAAAAATCTATAAAGCGAGATCGCAATATTTATTACCGATGTAGTAAGCGCGAGCGAGGCCCCATCCCCAAGCGCATTTTGTGTTTGCGCGAGTACACGTAATACGTACGAAAAATTCGGCACACAGAAAAAAAACCCAAAACTCGTATTACAAGCATTGTACAATATATAGGGATCCCATACGGTGAACTTCTTTGTGCTTCTGCGCACAGTAAGCGACGATGAGAATTCATTTATATAGCCAGCTGAGTCTGACTCACATAGTACATACATATGATCTATAGAAAAGATATGTGTTCGTTCAATGCCACATGATTTTTGTGCGTCCGTGGATCGCGCCTGTGTGAGGTTCGGCTGCTACGACTCTCGGTGCTTTTTTCGCCGCTCTGTACAAACTCGTTTCAATATCTTCGTGCGTGCCTGTGTTTGTGTTTATATCGCCATCAGTAATTACATCATCTAATTGATTCATCTAAGAGGTGAGAGAGTTTCTCCTGGTGCTAGCACTGTGAATAATTTAATCTGGAATTTTTGTGTACCACGTGTTGGCAGCAGCACACCGCAAGGCCTACGCATCCATACGCATTGGCTGCGCGCGCACTTGTTGACATTTTTTCGTACTTCTTACTTGACCTACATCGTCACACTACGCATATTACTTGAATCATGTAAAATACAAGCTGAATGTTGATGTTTTCGACTTTCGTCGAAACAATCGGCATTATTGGCGCAAGATACGCGATGCCTCTAACTTGACAATCATTTAAATATCCTGCATGTTCTATATAGCTGTGTTTCGGTATAATATATGCGCTGCCTCGTATGCAGTCATTTTCTAGACCTCCACGAACGATTGACGACTTTATTACATGTGCACGAAGCGCATCGAGAACATTTTAAATTACATAAGTGTAGAAATGTATCTGCTAAAAGTTATTCCTTTTATTCTGGTGTAACAATTAAGATTCGCTAAATTTTTATATGAGATAAGTGTTTGCGTTTTATAGGAATGTACACGATGACCATGAGGAAAGCTATGCTAAGCTGTAACTGCCTCAGGCTTCAGCAATTTCCATATGCAACAGCTGTACCGACTGCAGACTTTCAACCCAGAAGGCGATCGATCGCTCAACACAAAGCTCATCCTCGCGTTTATTATGGAGGTAGGCACACGGTCACTCTCTTGCCTGGAGCTGGCACCGGTCCTGAACTTATGGATTACGTCAAAAAGGTACAGTACTGTAACTTATACTAAGAGAGCGCCTAGTGGCGCGCGCCAAAATTAAAAATTACATCGCTCATTTTTTAAACTTCGAAAAATTAATACGCCGAGATTAAATAGAGGATTATGTTAAATTTTTATGTTCGCGAGAATGCATGAATATTTATAAACATTTTTATGGAATATTTTCATTTAAATTTATTTCATCAAATTAATCAAATCACTCTGATTGCATTTTGACTAACTATCGCTAAAAAAAATTATTAAATTCGATTGCAATATGAATTTTGCAACGTGTACTTAATCACGAGTGAATATATGACCCATCGAATAAAAAAAATCGCAACTTTTTTTGCAGATATTTAAATACACCGGTGTACCGGTAGACTTTGAAGAAATCGAAATTGCCGAAAATTCAACAACCGATGATCTTGACTATGCTATTACATCCATTCAACGTAATGGTATCGCGCTCAAAGGGAACATCGAGAGCAACTGTTTAACGAGCGAAAATTTGGTGGGTAACGTGACTCTGAGGAAAGAACTTGATCTTTACGTCAATATGGTGCAGTGCGTCTCTTTTCCTGGAACATCTGCACGTTTTAACAATGTTGATATCACGATAATCCGTCAAAACGTCGAAGGCGAATATTCCATGTTGGAGCATCAAACGACCGATGGTGTCGTCGAGAGCTTGAAAATCGTAACGGAAGAAAATGCTAAGAGGATCGCTCGATATGCCTTTGAGCATGCGATCAATAATGGCCGTAAAAAGGTGAGAAAATTATTTTCAAAGCAATACGTTTTTGCAGGGTTAAGAGGAATTATTGAAAATTTGCATACGCTTTCTTTAACAATCAGTCTCTATAAAGTTCATTGAATTGCAAATTTCCGCCAACTATCAATTAGAATTGATTAATTGACAACATTATTCACTTTGAAACGATAAGGAATCAGAATACATGATAATTGAAATTCGTTCTCATTTAAAAAAAAAGCAAAAGAAAAACACTAGAAAAATTTAACACGTCTTGACATAAATAATTTATACTATACAAAATAATAATGCTGTGATTTTTTTTCTTTGAATTAAATCAGTTTTTATTTTTAAGCTCTTTTCAAGAATATATTATAAAAATAATTTTTTTATGAATAAATAATAATTTGATTTTGGCTAAATTTATATTTGAAAAGTAGAGATGTGGGTATAGAGATTTTATAAACAGATGAATTCAGTCAATTTTTTAATCTTTGAATAAAGCTTTAGATTAAGTTCATGAACTGAGAATAGCATATTTAGAACTGAAATTAAATTTTATAATTTCATGCTTTATAAAACTTTTTCCTTAACTTTCGTGTCATTAATAACTTTTTAAAGGTATTAGAATATTTGTAAATGAATTTTTTTCTGTATTGAGGGAATGAATCGTCGAAATGTAAAACGAGAATTTCAACGGAATACTTTAATCATTCGTAATTTTCCATTTCTTGTTATCAGCAATAAAAATTCAAATATCAACAGTCGCAAGATCGATTTCAAACAATATAATTAGACACTATCGTCAAAGCGCGTCAGCTTATCGTTTTGATGCTTTCATGAGCTTTCATAAACACCAATAGGAATGATATGCAATGCCTCGGTTACAGGTCACCATTGTTCACAAAGCCAACATAATGAAACTATCGGACGGCTTGTTCCTGGAAACGGCGCGCTCCGTTGGCGAGGACTATCCAGAAATCGCGTGCAACGACATGATCGTCGACAATGCCTGCATGCAGCTCGTCTCGAATCCTCATCAGTTCGACATGATACTCACGTCGAATCTCTATGGATCGGTGATCTCCAATGTCGTCTGCGGCCTGCTCGGCGGCGTCGGCATCTACTCGGGCCGCAACGTCGGCGAGAATCACGTTATCTTCGAGCCGGCCACCCGTAACAGCGGCCACTCCATAGCCGGCAAGAACATAGCCAATCCCGTGGCCATGCTCCACGCGGCCTCGGATATGCTGCAGCATCTCGGCCTGGACAAGTACGCCGAGCTCATAAAGGCCGGTATCAGAGGCAGCTTGAGGGATCGTGTCTGTACTCCGGATTTGGGTGGCACAGCTACCAGTCAAGAAGTCGTCGCATCGATTATGAAGCACATCGAGATCGCTTTGCAATCTCACCAGTAAATGCTCCATGTGGTCGGTGTCAACTTCACACTGGGCGGCAAAGAATAACTGCTTTTTATGGATTTTCCATGAAATGTATGTTCAATTACTTTATACGAAAGTTTGGATTTAGAATGATGAAAAAAATGCTTGCTTTGTATCTTGTATAATGTATATCATAATCTTACATCGTGTCAACGTATGTGACCGAGACATATAAAAATGCCAATTTCTATTTTCACATAAAGTTCCATTTCTATGCTTTTTATGCACATAAACTTGATGTACTTTAAGTGCCCATCAGAAATTCATTCTTTTACGATCGCACATATTAAATGCCATGATAATATTATCAAATTTCTTCGACAATTTACTAAATTCAATTAATTATTATACCAAGCAAGATGACAGCCATAAAATGTAACATTGAAAAAATGAAAAAAATGAACCCAAAGTATTACATGCAACAAACCGGAAGTTTTACATTGTTCAACTTCAAGTCGACAAATTTTCAAAGAGACTAAGTTTTCTATAAAATTTTTTTTTCGATTCAAAGTGTCGTGTATGACTTATGGCAATCGTAATGAGTTCGTAAAACTTTACTCTATTACTATAGTATAGGGCGATATGTCATTCAAGTTTCAATGTACGATGATTTACAGTCTTCATTAACTAAAGTTTGTCATTATGTGACTTATATTGTTTTATCAGTAATTTTTAACCTTTTTGACTTCTACTTATTTTTTGTTAGCAAATTATTTACTTAGTTATTGAATTGGTTTCAATAAAATGTCAAAAATGATTAAAAATGTTATCTAAAATTTAATTCAAATTTTTTTAGCCTTTACATATTATAAAAATATTACTAAAAAAATGACTTTAATTTTTTCGATTTGTCTGAAGTAATCAGTATTTAATTAGATTATTTAATAAAAAAAGTTTCTCTTGCATTATGTGAATTTCGCACATTTACGGTTACCAGGAAAAATAGTCTTGAGCGCAATCAAATATTAAAAAAATACAAATGAGACATTCATATTTCCCAAGAAATATTTTCCATACGGTGTATTAAACTCAAGTCAATGAATAGTGATTTGATGATTTCTAGTGCACAAAAATGTTTGAATTCCAAGAGAATAATTATGCTTTAGGATAGATATTTGGAAACTTCAATACATTTAAACAAGTATAAGAATTATTTATTGTTTGAGAAATTCTCGTTCAATGAGCTGAAATAAGTATAAAGTTTTACCGCGTTCTTTAACAAAATAGAATGATAGTTTCAAAGAATCAGAAATATATGAATATAGATCATCAAATTGATAATTAAGATTTGCTTTGTTGTAAGCAAATCAAAAGAGTTAAGGAATTTCGAAGACGAACTTTGAAATCAAATTAGAAAACTTTTTACCGAGTAGAAGCCCGTAATTTCGATTAGTTATTGGCTACGATATGGCCACACACAAGTTTGAAATCAGTTAGCTTTCTTTACGGCATTGTTCGTTAATCATTATACATTATGATAAAACAGTTCAAAATTTTATTCAATTTCAATTTAAGTACAATATTACATTGAACAAGGCAAAAGTTTTGCACAGATCCAAAGAGCTGTAAAAGACAAAAACTCTTCGTGTAGCCAGCTAAAACCGGACTCTCATCAATAGAAACAAAAAACGAAGGCCTTTGAAGTGCGCCGGTTCATCATCAGGTGCGGGAACCTTTTAGATAATCATCGTGCACATAAGAGGGAAAAAGTGAGTCAAGATTTCAAACAGAAAAAGGAAAATTTTATATTTACAAGTATTTTCACACCATATTTCGTTTGAGGCTATTTAAATTAGAAAAATTTCGCAAGGGTCCATAAGAGCAAATTTCTTGCGTAAGTTTTTACACTAGCTACCGACAACAAAGATAAGCATTAGAAGTATCTATGGCTCAAACAAAACATCTACAAACCACAAACAAAGTTTATAATTATTTTCCTTTTAGCCAGCACAGCTACTGGAAGTCGATCTTGAATTGGATTTGTGGGTTTTTTTATCAATCCTGCACCAGCATTGATTAAGTTCAAAGCTTCTGACCCTCATCACGCGAGACGAAAAATAAATGCTTTCCTCTTACGACTAGCTGCGCGCATTTTCGATAAGTGGCTGCTGTTTTAGGCCGCGCAGCGGAAGCTCAACATTATCGAAAAGTTAATGGAGTCTCGCGGTGAATCGCTCCGAACGCGACGATGGCATTGCAAGGGAAACACAATAAGCGACTCGTAGGTGCAGGTCGAGTCGAAAAAACAGCATTGTAATACCGCAGCTCCGTGTAGCGCCGGTTTTTCGGTTAAATTACAGGACCGAACGGAAAGTACACTATAGCCGGAAGCGAAAACCCCATCCGCGCGCGCGGGCTCGATTGTCGGTGTCTCTTTCTACGGTGTCGATTTGTAATTTCGCACCGGAATCGTGCCGAATGATGGAGTGCTAATTGATTCCTAACGCCAAATTGCCATGCCACTATGCGGCAATGCGACTGCAAACTCGCTCTATACGCTGTACATTTTTTTCCTCTCACTCACTCCCTCCCTCCCCCGTTCTCTTTTTTTCGCTCGAACAATTTTTCTATTTCGAGAAAGCGAGCCTTTCACACTAGCTGGCGAGATTGAATTTTTTGTCTCAGAAAAAAGGGGTTGCGCGCTGCAAATTGTGTATTATTTAGATGAAAAAAAATTTCATTTTTATAGCTTCCGTGTATGTGATTTTTTTGACCTTACGTCATTGAGTTTCGGAGAAACGTTTACGCGTCTGTGAGCATAATTTTGCACTATTTCGGTCGTGCGTCGCTTATTATCAAGTTGGCTGTATTTAGCACTTGAAGAGATGATTAGATATTTCTTGGAGCTTTCAGAAAAACGATGATAGTTATTTCAGCATAGCAGGATCGTAGCGCACAATGAGATATGGGCGAGGTTTTGATGATCGAACGCAGATGATATTTATCTTATAATTGTATACAAAGGAGGAGGTGAAACGCGTTGGTGCTTTACTCCGCAATTAAATTGTTCGAATACGCAGGATGAAAAATCCAGATAGTTCTGTCTCTCGTTCGGAGTAAATACTTTACGCTCACCTGCGTACAGAAATATGTAATATCACAGGAGCATTTTCGTTGCAGCAATTATCGCGCGCGGCTCGTGATTATCACTGTGAAATCAACTTTGATTCCTTTTCAACTACGGTATATAATATGGGTGTGCGAGTGCACGTACGTATAAATGAAGGGACGCTAAGCGAGCAAAGATACATACACTTATAAAAGCACAATAGCTGCTGCCGCTACTGCTGCGAAAGTGAAATATTGCATAAGCGTCCAAAGCGTGTGTGTGTGCACTTTATGCACGCGTATATCTGACCATCAAACGCCAAATTAAGCCCAATGAATGTCAATACAAAAGCAGCGTAATACTACTATCCCAAAACATTCAATTGTCCTGATAATTCAAGCAAAATCGCTCCTTTTTTCTTTTTTTTTTCTCCCCCGAACGCATGGAATGAAAGGAAAAGAGGCAAGACGTAAAAAAAAAGAGAAAAGAATCACTGGATCTCTCGCGGTATATGGCAAACGCACAAAGCTGATCGCCGCCACCGCCACTGAACGCGAGCGCGCGCGTATATAACCTTGGTGCACTGCTACTGCTGCTTGCCCTTTAATCCAAATCATCCCGATGAAAGAAGAAAGAGAGAAAAAAAATGCAACAAGAAGCGAGCAAGCGCGGGCAACCAAAGAACGAACCACACAGAACACAAGGAAGGGGATCGCCAAAAACGATCACGCTCGGCAGAAAAGATGCATGCACACGTCGCTGCACCGTTGCTCTCTCTCTCTCTCTCTATGTATGTGCACTGGCTTTAGCTTGATCGGGCTTGCGAGCGCGCGCGAGAAAGCCAATTTGAACAGTTGATCGAGCAGCCGAAGCGATAAATTGGCTGACTGAGAAAAACTCATCGAAGCGTTTTATAATACACAGGTTTTTTTCCAAGCGGAAGGGACCAACACACACACATACACACACCGTAACCACAGATACTATACTACACAAACTCATGAGTCGCGTGAGGCAAAAAAAATCATCCCGCCGCGTCTTCCTACACGTATGTGTGTTTGTGTGCAGTGCATGAGGCTTCGTTTCCTTTTTCTTCTGTTTGAAGCTTTGTGTTCTGAGCATTGAATATAATAGCTGCAGAGGTTTTGGAAAAGAAGAAAAAGACGGAGAAGAAGAAGAAGTAGAAAAAGAAGAAGCTCCGAGACAGAGAGAAAAAATGCACACGCAGAAGTCTCTGACTTTTGAAAGAGAGCGAACTAAAGGGATATAAAATTTCGTAAGGATTTCTTTCGGCTGCTCGCGCTTCTGCAGTTTCTACACGTCACCCAACGCCTACATTATACACTCACGCGTTTGATAATAGAAGAACGAAAATCCTTGCTATCCACGACGCGCGCATCCAGTTCTATTCTTTTGGCGTACTTTTTTTCTTGGCCAGCTCGACTCTTTTCTTTCCCGACGTTCCTCATATACGCAAAATTTGATAATTTATTGCCGACAAAGATGTAGCTTTTGTCACCCGTATAAAATAGTCCAGGGATTCGTTTTCTCGCGTACCTACGCTCTCGGCCATGAATATTCATGAGCTCGATCAATCTCGGTGGTTATTCATACGCGCGCAGAAAAATAAATGAAATGTCAGCGTAGGATTGAAGCTATGCGCATGCTTAGTACGTGCTGCAGGCCAACAACTGCTGCTGCAGAGACACAGCTAACTGACAAAGCTCAACGAAAATGTTTTTATAATTTTTAAAGTTCGAATCCTTTTTTTGGAAATCAACAAAACGAGAATGATTTACGGCAGAAGCTGCATTTATAGCGTCTTTCTCTACTCGAATCTTTAGACTTGTATAGGCTTAAAGCGTTCGAGTATGCACGCCAGCGCGCAAGTAAGATATAAATTGGCCAATAAAAGAAACTTACACGCGTTGCAGCCGTGTGCAGGAGTGCACGGCTACTACGGCGATCGCAAATGTCACGTGCATAAAGGAGCGTAGTTGTATATTTTCATCTGTGTGACTTTAAAAGACAAACATTATTATTCTTACGAATGTGCAGTTGTAAAAATTAAATGATTCCCTGCATTTAAAGGACATAATGTATTTTTATTTTTTCCTAGCGAAACGAATGGCTTATTAGTCGGGTAAGAATGAAAATCCCCGCGAGTTTTCAGTAACGTCCCGCTCGTAAACCTATATCTTCCGCAGTTAATGCCGAATGACAGTCGGCACGGTAAGTGACAGTAATTGTCGAGTCTCGTTAGCGTCGTAAAATTGTGGCTATGAGCGCGCGCGACTTTAATTTCCAAAGCTGTAACAACAACAACAGCAACAACCAACAACCAACAAGCAACAACAGCAGCAACTTTACTGCACGCTCACGTGCTGCTACGTGTTGTTATCGCACGTACATATACCCTGTCTGACGGCGAGCAGCTTTTCAACTCGGCAAAATACACACGCGCGTCTACT